GCACCCCCGAAGTCAAAAAACGGGAATCGCCAGTAGCCGCGGATCGACCTGGCGATCGCGTAAAGATCCGAAAAGCAGGAAAAGGCGACGACGTGGCGACTTCGGAGCGGGCGAAAAAAGGAGAAAATGATGGCGCGAATAAAAAACGTCACGACCGGCCGGCATCAGGGGAAATCGCCGAGGCGAATGGAGGCTCCGCGAAAAAAGACTCTGCACCGACCGGGAAACTCCAGCCGAACACCCACGAAAGTAAGAATTCGTTAAAAGTATCCTATAAAGATACTCTAATGAAGAATATTGCTTCTCGTGGTTTTCAAGCCTTTGAAAAAATTAGGGGAGGTTTAGAGGCTAAGAAAAAGCCTTTAGAAATCATTCAGGTACCTGAGAAGTTGGGCAAAGTACTACGGAGTATAGAAAAGGGTCGTGCGTTCCGTGGAGTTAATATTCTCTCCCCGCAGCACAGTGTTAAGGCTCCCCGTTGCCCACAGGTGAAGCCTACACAGCTGCCAAGGCTTAGAGGAGGCATCCAGGCTCAGGAGAAAATATACAAGCCTCGGAAAAATCCTCCCACCCTCCAGGTGAAATTGGAAAGTGCTAAGTCGGGTATAGGAAAAAGGGAAGGTATTAAGTTTGATGTACCCTATGATCCTATTAATGAGACCCTCTTTGGCTACTCAGCGCAGCAGAAACCACTACTCCTCGAGGTGTTATGCAATGGACGACGCCTCCAGGCACTGGTGGACAGCGGTGCATCTCACTCGGTGTGTGACCGCGGAGCATTGGAGAAAATTGGAGAGAAGGCAGAAGAGACCCAGTTTTCAGCAACCATGGTGGACGGTACGAAGCTTCCTATCCACGGCGAAGCATCACTGCAGTTGCATATAGGTGCGTTGAGGTGGAAGCCGAAGCTACCAGTCACCAACATCAAAGGGTTAGATTTTATCTTGGGGCGAGATTTTCTGAAGCGGTTCAACCCCGAGATCGATTGGGTCAACAGCAAGGTGTGCATCTACAACAACGGGAAGCGGATAGCACTGCGAAGCTGGACGGATACAGGGGACGTACCTGAAACGACACTGGCACGGTTCGAACAGACGGTGAACGAGAGTAACACGGGTTACCTAGCACTGGTCATGGCAGCAGCAGAGGAGGAGCAGCCGAGTTCCGAGCTCCCTGCAGCAGTAAAGGAGGTCTTGAGCAATACAAGGATATAATGCCCGACGACCTACCTGCAGGCGTACCTCCAGCACGCACCCACGAGCACGAGATCGTGGAGGAACCAGGTGTGAAACCCGTCTCACGTGCACCATACCGACTGAGTCCGACCGAACTAACAGACATGAAGAAACAGATAGAGTATCTACTGGACAGACAACTGATCCGCCCATCCACCTCTCCCTACGGTGCACCAGTTCTCTTCACTCCAAAACCAGACGGCAGCTTACGGATGTGCATCGACTACCGCGCACTGAACAAACAGACAGTTAAAAACAAATACCCCATACCGCGCATCGACGACTTACTGGACCAACTGCGTGGTGCAATAGTCTTCTCGAAGCTGGACCTACGGTCGGGTTACTGGCAGATCAAGATGGCGGACAACTCGATCCACAAGACGGCGTTCCGTACTCGATACGGCTCCTACGAATACTTGGTGATGCCGTTCGGACTCTGCAACGCACCAGCAACGTTCCAGGCGGAAATGAACCATATTCTACGGCCCCTGCTGGACGAGTGCGTAGTGGTGTACCTGGACGATATCCTCATCTACTCCAAGAACATGAAGGAGCACGTGGAGCATCTGCGGAAGGCGTTTGAGATCCTGCGGAAAAACAAGTTCTACGTGAAGCTGTCGAAGAGCGACTTCGCCCTGAAGAAGGTGCAGTTTCTCGGGCACATGGTGAGTGCCGAGGGCGTACACGTGGACCCGCGGAAGATCGAAGCCGTCAAGAAGTGGAAAGTTCCGGAGAACGTGAAGGAGTTGCAGCAGTTCCTAGGCTTCGCCAACTACTACAACAGGTTCGTGCCGCAGTATGCTAAGATAGCAGTGCCACTGACCGACCTACTGAAAAAGGATACGCCCTTCAAATGGGATACTCCTCATCAGCAAGCCATGGAACAGCTACAGATAGCACTGACTACAGCGCCAGTACTCATCTTGCCGGATCCAGACAAGGACTACGTGGTGGAAGCAGACGCTAGTGACCAGGCACTCGGAGCAGTAGTGATGCAGGATCACGGGAACGGTTTACAGCCTATCGCCTACCTCAGTAAGAAACTGCACGGAGCAGAACTAAACTACCCCATCCACGACAAGGAAGCCCTAGCTATAGTCGTAGCCTTCAAGGCGTGGAGGTGTTACCTCGAGGGAGCCAAGACCACAGTCTATACTGACCACTGCAGCCTCAAATACCTGAAGTCGCAGCCTACGCTCTCACGACGACAGGTACGGTGGGTGGATTTCTTGGAGACCCACTTCCACTACGACATCATCTACAAGCCGGGGCTACACAACAAAGCAGACGCGTTGAGCCGCCCAGGTCATGTAGCAGGCATCCAACTCGACGGGATGAACCCTCTGCTCAAAGGTCTATTCCAACATGGGTACTCTGTGGACGGCGAGATAGCAACGGCAGAGAAACAGAAACTGTTACAGTGGGAGAAAGACCTAGCGGTAAGGAAGGGTTCAGGAAAGATTTGGGTACCGAATTACGCCCCGCTACGGCAGATCCTATTGGAGGAGTTCCACGACGTACCATACGCGGGACATTTCGGGAGCAACAAGACGTTAGCGGGAATAGCGAAGTATTACTACTGGCCCCGGATGGCAGCAGATGTGCAGCAGTTCGTCACCTCCTGCGACACGTGCCAGCGGATGAAGAGCAGCAAGCAGAAGAAAGCAGGGTTACTTCAGCCTCTACCCGTACCGGAGCAGCCATGGCAGGTCGTTAGTCTCGACTTCATCACAGGACTTCCCTCGACCTCACGGGGACATGATTCCATCCTCGTAATCATCGATAAGTTCTCCAAAATGGGACACTTCATACCGACCAACGCCACGGCTACAGCTGAAGCAACTGCTCGCCTCTTCTTCGACCGCATAATCACCATCCACGGCATCCCCGCTACACTCATCTCAGACAGAGACCCCAAATTCACGAGTAAGTTTTGGAAGGAACTCATGGGATTATTAGGGACCAAACTTGCGATGTCCTCAGCATACCACCCACAGACTGACGGACAGACAGAGCGACTCAATCAAGTGGTTGAACAGTTACTGCGCACAGCTTGCAAGGACGACGTCAGCCACTGGGACACACAGTTACCGACCCTAGAGTTCGCTTACAACAACGCGTCACATGCGGCCACAGGGAAAACTCCTTTCTTCCTGTGTTACGGACGGGAACCACTCACACCACAGCAGCCAACCACACCGTCACACGTCCAAGCCGCACATGACTTCGTCACCACCATGCAGCAGCTATGGGAGAAGACTCAGCGACGACTCACCACGATGCAGACCTCCCAGAAGCAGTATGCCGATCGTCAGCGACGTGATCACTCAGTAGCAGTCGGAGATCAGGTGCTTCTTGACACGCGCAACTTGAACCTGTCTCACCTCCCATCCAAACTCCGGCCTCGCTTCTGTGGTCCTTTTCTCGTTGAGGCACAGGTGACACCAGTTACATTCCGCTTGCGCTTACCAGATATGTGGAAGCTTCACAATGCTTTCCATGTGCAGCTACTGAAACCCTACAAGGACCCCAACCAACAGTTCCAGGGACGGCAACTCCCGCCACCACCACCTGTTCTCATACAGGATGAACCCGAGTACGAAGTGGAGCGTGTTCTCACTCATCGGCGCCGCGGCGGCAAGACCCTCGAGTTCCTGATATGCTGGAAGGGATACGACCCCACTGAGGACAGTTGGGTTGCAGAAGCTGATATGGGCAACGCACGCCGTGCTCTCAAGGACTATCTTGTCAAGCAGGGTGTTTCTCACGCCACCCAGCTTTGAGGGGGGGACGTGTGAGAGTACGACGGCTTATGCCAGCTATGCTTGCTTGCCTTTACTTTATCATGCTATTTCTAGCATAGGATAATCATATGCATGCATGAATTGCTTGATTTCCTAGGCTAGGTGCTTTCCTATATTTTATTATAGTTATAGCACCGAGCTAGGTTGCGTGCACCGAATTCTGACTTTTCGGTTGCCACCGAATTGCCTTCTACCGAATTCGGGAAGGATCTGTTCGGGACGCTTCCCGACCCGCGGAACCTTCGCGTAACACCTGGTTACGGGGCCTTGTGTCGAGCCTATATATAGCCTCGTGTTGTACCCAGGTGATCATTCAATTCGATGCAATTCAAAATCTCTTTTCTGAGCTCGATCCTAGATCCTCACAGCACCTTTGAGTCCGCGCGCTTGTAATTGCATGGCGCGCACCATGGGAGAGAAGTGGCAGTGGCTATTGCGGATGAAAGACGAGAACCTGTCTATTCGTCACACCGCCCGTCTCGCCAAGGTGCAGCCCATCAGCGTCCGCCGTTGGCTGGAGATCGCGAAGGAGATAAAAAAGGCGGCACCGTGCAGGCGCCGTCTCGCGAGTGGCGGGCGTCGGGCTAAACATCCTCACACGGAGGTCGCAGCATACAAGAAGCTATTGAGTTCACGCGGGCGGAGGTTAGCACTGCCGATCAAGCTCCCTAAGCACTAGAGCCGGACGTATATAAAGTCTCACCACCCAATCATCGCGTAGATGGCTTCCGCGTGGTGGACGTTGCGTTTCCGTGCACGATGGGGCCTTTCCATCCGTGTGAAGACGAAAATCGGGCAGCGGCTTGTGAAAAATATGTAACCATTGTCACGATTTAATCCCCATTACTCCGTACATGTTTTCTTACCGTATGTTGTTGTCCAATCCGCTGTACCACCGCTTGTCTAACAAAAAAAAAAAAAAAAAAAAAAAAAATGGTTTCATGGCAAAGTGCAGGCCAAAATGCGAATCATTTTGGACGTTCATGCAGAGGAACACCATCAGGTGTGGCATTCACACGTGGAACGTCATCAACGCCGACCAGACCCCTGCTTTTTTGGAGATGCCGTGCGACCGGACGAAGCGCGAGCTACGAAAATGGAATGCGTGACTGTGATGCTGGGTGTCATAACGAACGGCCGCAAGCTCCCGACTATCATCATCTTCAAGCGCAAGACGATGTCGAATATCCGCGTGCCGCCGGGTAAAATGCATATTGGTAAACTATCGCATACGCAAACTTGTTTGCGTAGGACTAATCGTCCGTGCATATGCGTGTTGTTCCCTAGCAGGTGCCATCATCCATGCCAAAGAGAAGGGTTGGATGGATTCCAAGCTTGTCAACGATTGGGTGAAGAAGGCTATTATCCCCTTCATTAAGCCGCCTCCTGGCATTCGTTTGTTTCAGACCCTTCCGGACTTGGACTCATGCCGCGGACACCTCACGGGCAGCGTGCTTGCAAATCTGAAGTGGCACCGCGTGATCCCAACAATCATGTCGGGGGCTTACACATCCCTGCTCCATCCCCTTAACATAAGCATCAACTGCTCCTTCAAAGCGGAATTTTGCACGTTCCACAACGACTAGTTCGCCGAGTTCGGCTTGAACACCTGCACTCATGAATGTGCATAGAGTACTTCATTCTTGCTGTAATCCTTTGTACGGTATGACGTAAACACATTCACCCCAATCTATGTGCCTCCGCCTAGCTTGCAGGGAACATGAAGAAGCCCCCCGCAGAGATGGTCCTGATGTGGATCGCGACAGCTTGGCAAGACGTGCCGGAGCACATAATCATCAAGGCGTTCTTGACCACCGGCATCAGCAACGCCGTTGACGGTAGTCAGGATCACCTAGTCTCGACGCAGATGCGGGATGCTGGCCAGGTCGAGGTGGGGGGGGACGTCGGCGCCGCCGCCGGGGTGGAGGAGTGGGTCAACCCCCTCCACACCACGGCCGCTGACGACGAGGAGGTGGCACAGGCGGTGGACAAGGAAGACTGCGGAGACATGCCCGCGGAGGACGAGGAGATGGAAGAGGCGGAGGAGGATGAGGAGGAGGAGGAGGAGGAGGAGGAGGAGGAGGAGGAGGAGGAGGAGGAGGGGGAGGAGGGGGAGGAGGGGGAGGAGGGGGAGGAGGAGGAGGAGGAGGAGGAGGAGGAGGAGGAGGAGGAGGAGGAGGAGGAGGAGGAGGAGGAGGAGGAGGAGGAGGAGGTAGGGAACAGGGTGGTGGAAGAGGTGTAGTGGGAAATGTTGATGAGGAGTGAGTACTGGGGCGCCAGATGTGTAGCATTGTGAGATTCTTGACTCCTAACATGTTTCATGCCTTGTTGGTACTTTTGTAGCTAGTGTAATAAATATCTATATGCATCTTTGTTGAGACCCTCGTGGTAATGCATTCATAAAGAAAAAATGCTCCACTAGGGGAAGGGAAAGGGGGGCGGGGGGGGGGGGGTGGGAAATCTCACCCTTTTGGCCAGAATAAGAGCCACAGTACCTGGTACAAGTCTCAGGGATCCTTATTTCGGAGGGGGGGAGGGGGGGGGAGTGGGGGGGGAGGGCAAGGGGGGTTTCATCTAGTTGGGAGATTATGGTATGACCTAAAGAGACTTTTCTGGAATTTCATATGAGCCAAAATCATTCATATAGAAAGATACATGAAAATAAAATTATAGGTACGAAATCTAGACGAACATTCAAAAATTGTTTGCTAACGAGAGCCCTAGTAGTAAGGCAACGGCTTTCCACCATCACGTCACTCCATAACAAAGCAACGCGCGAGTATCAGTATCGCAATAGCTCATATAGAGCATGTGGAAGGTTAAGGGTCACCCGAAGGTCAACAGTCGAAAACAGTCAACAGTCGTGACCCTTGACTGCCCAGTAACCACACTTGGTAGTTACGAGATGCAACATGGTAAGAGCGTATTCCTACGGGGCCACCTCGTATCAAGAATGGTCCTCCTGCTTGTAAATTGACAACCTCACCAAAACCTCATATCAGGAAAAGTTGCCGGTTAACCCACATGTGCGACTCCAATCAAAAGCTGATGTGGCATGTTGCGACCCAGCATGAACAAGCGCCCCGACGAATATAAAAAACGTGCCACGAGAGCATAGGGTGGGACGAGCACCAAAATGTCTCAACCCGAGAAACACATTTCCCTACTCTAACCCAGACCATATTGAAAGTCGTTAAATAGTATGAAAAGCCACCACGATCGGCAAAGTAGCCATGTAGTGGCGTCTTCAAAATGACAGACGTTCCTTTCCTGCCACGGCTGTTAATAGTGTGGCACGCATTTTACTTCGACACTTTCTTAGACAGTGCAATAAACTCGTGCAGTAAGCTTCTGGAGCAGATTAGCACAGCTGAACTAGAAGAGACTGATTATGAAACGCGAGGTGCATTACGAGCGCGGAATCGTATCTTACGGCGGCGACGCCTTGCCGTCTGGGAGGACGAAATGGCGTCAATGCCCGAAGAGACCTTCATCGACCTTTTCCGCATCAATCGCGCTATTCTAGATTACATAAGCGAGGGCATGGCTCACGTGCTAAACCCCGTCATACAACGACATTGCATTCCGATCAACGTCGCCGTGCTCATACCGATCAAGTACTTTGCGAGTGCCATGGCGTACGTGGACCTGTCGTTTTGGTTTGGCGTGCCAAAATCACTATGTCATCGCCTTGTCGATATCTTCCTTCAGAACTTTCCAACCGTCGTCAAAGCAGCCTGGGTCCGTTTCCCAACACGAGAGGAGATGCACGACATGGCGGAGGAGTTTAGGGGCATCAAAGGTGTGCCCATGGTGGTGGGTGCAATTGACGGTACACACGTACAAATTCGCGGAATGTAGGGCCATAGGGCAGAATACTACACTCGGAAATCACAATACGCCGTGCAGCTACAAGTTACATGTGATGCAAAAGGGATGACATGGGACTATCTAATCAACTATCCAGGCACCGCGCATGACCAGAGGGTGTTTGTCCTGTCAAGCCTCTACGAAAGACTAGAAAGGGGTGACATCGCGCCATACCAGCTGCTGGGCGACGCCGCCTACCCACTCTGGAGCTACTGCCTTACTCCATTGCATGCTCCTACCGGACGCCTAATGCTTGAGTGGGAGCAAACCTTCAGTTACTGCCAATCCGCAACACGCATGCTGGTGGAGCGAACCATCGGCCAACTCAAAGAACGATACCGCCTCTTCGCTGGACGACATGAGTGTGCGTTTTGGCGAGTCCTTGCCGGCGCCAGTTGTGTGGTAATCCTGCACAACATGGGACTCGAGATGGCGAGTGCAAGGTTGAAAACGACAAATCACACGTGGGCAGCGCGGTTGATTAACCAAGACCCCTGGTGGACGAGAGGCGAACTTGCCGAATATGATTGGTGTGCCGATCTAGCCGTGACCAAGACAGATCTGAAAGAGCGTCGGAAACGGCTTGGGGTGGCGCTTCACGAGGAGTACCTTAAGCGACGTCGGAGCGGCGATGCCACACCTCCACGTCGTCATTGATGGTCGCACCTCCCTCCGTATCCTCGCCTGACGGCCCCGATTCCCCCGCTCGGTTGCTTCCGAAATTGAGTGGACGGCTTGTTTGCGACTGCTGAGTCGCCATCCATTCGCGAATCACGCCAGTGATTTGCGACACGCCCTCCTGAGAGCACTGCTTGAATGTCTCGGCCAATAGCTGAGCGGCAGCCATGGTGGCCGTCTCGTTGATACGGCGACGAGCACTCGGTGGCGTGTTACGGACTGCAGGCACGAGTGGGAAAGGGGGTGGAATTAAGATGTATGTTTACGTGTCCAGTTAATGATACATTTGTTTCGCGGAGAAGCCATGCAAATATCAAACTAAAGCGGTTAACCAGAACAACCATGCTAATGCTGACAGACGGTATAGATACCTGTGTTTGGCGTCGGATTGCTGGTAGGTGGCTTGGGTACCTTCAAACTTGGGTCTACGGTTACGTCAACCGCACCGCCACCATCCAGCGCGTGTGGCTCAGCCGCAGCAGTATCTTCGTAGAAAAGAACCATCCACTCCCACCACGGGGGTTTTATCACCGTGGCGCCCCCCGAGGCGGAATCCCCCTTTTCTATCTGCTTCCATAGCGCCTTAAGACGTTTCCACTGATTGGAGCATGCTGTGGCGTTCCTGCACCAATCGGTATGCTTCAGCGTAATGTGTTCGACGAGGCGTAACCAATATTGAGACCCTTGTTTACCCGTCATCTTATTCAGCTCTTCTTTTGTGAACCAACGCGCGGCCACCAGAATGGTAGACTCTTTCATCGACCAGTCCGAGTTCGGTCCGAGTCATCGACCAGGCCCGGTTACGCTCCTTGCCCTTTCCGCAAGCCGTGGCACGGGTGACGGCGCCACGTTTCGTGCCCGTTCCGACAGGAGAGTCAGCGCGGACATCAGGGGGGCCATTGTACTCCGCCTCGCCGCACCACGCCGCAACTGGGCCGTCCTCGTCTTCATCCCCGTCAGCGTCGTCGTCTCCTATCTCTTTGTCCGTGTCGTCCTCGTCCGAGTCGTAGTCGGCATGCAAACCGACATGGCTCGGGCCGGCATTGACGCGTGGTGGGACAGCAGGGTTAGCGGGAATCTGTCCCACATTACGCAAGGGTTTTGCAGTCGGTCTTCCTGCGGCGAGTTCCGTGTTCATCCAGGCGACATAAGCAAGATCCTCCGGACGCCATGAGTCGTCGTCTGCGTTGCTAACTTGGTCTTTACGCTTACGCGCCATGATGTTGGCAGTATGATAGATTGAGCATCGACATGACCATGAAGTTGCATTTTGTATTGAGAAGTGTTTGAAGGTGGAATTGGAGTGGGCCATGTGTGTTTGGATGACAGGGCAGCTAAAATGGTGGACGTGCGGGGAATGGTGTACGAGTCGCTATGCATCTGACAAGGGAGGTGACACGAAAAGTTTGCACACTCTGCACGTTCGAGCGTGACGCACGATTGCCACCGTGTGCAGTTTCGCATGAATGTTTGTCGGCCGCATTCACAGGGCTGATGCCTTCACGTCAACTGGAACCGTGCGCCGGTAAATCAGCACGTTCACTTCTGGGTGTGCGAGCATTCTCATTGGTGCGCTGGTTGGGTCTATTCTTGATATAAGGTGTTTTATACCGTAAACATAAGTCAATCCCATTCTTGATACGAGGTGGCCCCGTAGGAATACGCTCTAACTGTCGAGAATGGCAATAGTCGTGGTTTCTGTAGCAATGTAATTCAGTAAGGGAATGTACCCCTCAGAGTACATGGCTAGCTATGGTTGCTATTTATATTCTTGTACTTATATCCTATAATTATATTGTATTCTTATTAACAAGGTTATTACAAGACGTAATAGCTTTCTCTCACACTTGACAGACTTATCCTATCAGCCACGATCCTTCACTTATAACAAAAATATACATATATATACCTTGAAATGAAGAGGATGAGCACGTGGTTGCCACTTGACTAGCCAGACAAGTATGCACAATATACCCCAACAAGGAGATCAACAGTTTTAGACAAATCAAACTGGATCAACAGTTTTAATAGCGAGATGTTCTATATCGCTGTTGCTTGTCCACGTAAATATCGTAAAGCGAAGAGGCCAATCACAATGTCCGCCCCATTGCCGCTAGTTCTGGTTGGTCGATCTTCAACTCGCGTGACTCATCTCTGCCATCACCACAGGCGCACTTCAAGATCGGAGGGCTTGGTGAGCTGGAGCATCTTTTAGGATGATGTGGTCTGAGCCACACCCTTTGCGCATCCAGCAAATTATTTCCAAGGATGACGCAACGCTGGCGAGACGCGCACGTGCCCAACTCTATGGTGCTTTGTTCTTTTGCCCCTTGATCACTTATGATGATTGGCCAGGGCAGGCCAAAAGTGAGGAATAAAGGATTATGAGGGGGCGAGAGCGAATGGAAAGTGGTCATTTGGATTAGAAAAGAACCCCAACCACGCTCCGCACACGGATGTGCCAGCAAACGAAGTTACAACCAATCAACGGTGAACCGAGATCCCTGGCTCCTCGCTTGCTGGTTCTTCGTGGTAGATAGCGCGGGCAGAGAAATCCGATTTTCATTGGGTCACGAAAATCTAACGAAGCCATCCTTTTTTCGGCAGCGAGCTTCGGCGGCTTCGCGAGCAAATGATCAACCACTCCATCTACTGCCATGCCGAAGGGCGCCAACAACCATTACACAGGCGCCTCAGCTCGCGCCCATCTCTACACTCACTGCGCTCCGCGCACCGACGCACCGCACTCACTCCGCTCCGCGCATAAACCGGTCCGCCCTCCCTCCGCTTTGCTCTCACCCCCCTGAGGCAGTCCTCACTCCACCACAAAGCAAGATGCCGCATGTCAGAGCTTCTAGAATAATCACTAATAGAACTTCAGCTGCCACCGTTTCTTTCACTCCTAATCAGTAGCTCGTTTCCGACGTTACTGTTCTCTATCTAGAGTTTGCTAGTCCCGAATCTGCACCTGGTCACAGTTAGCACCCTGACAGGATCGTGTGATAATTACGAGGTATACAAGTTTCGAACTCCCTAAGTTATGACAGCTGCACTTCCGTCATGGGCGGGAGTGCTTCAATTCAACGCGTCTGCCCCGACAGGTCTGCTCTGCGCAAAAAGCCCTAGCAAAGTCAGCAACCCGAGCGATTCGACAAACCTTGGGAGACAAAATCTCGGAAGACCTCAGCACGGAAATTCCTATCCGCGACACCCGCCGTCTCTCGCGCCCATCTTAACCCGCCGCGCAATCACTCCGCACACACCCGAGTGTCGCCTCAAGCCGCACTATGGCCGCCGAACCGCGACAAAGACAACCACCGTGCCGCTTCGGCGCCGAACCGGGCCGGTGTCCTTCCCCTCCCCTTCCAATCACCGCCGAGTGTCGGCCGCGTCGCAATCGTCATCCCCCCACCGGTCGACTGCGGGAGGCGCCGCGCTTCGCGCCGTGACTCACGCCGCACCTTCCGGCGCCAACCACCGCTCTCTGCTCCAGGAAAGCGCGTTCAGCGCCGAAGCGCTCGCTTTCAACCTCGCCCTCCGAAGCTTACCATCAGAGGCCTGCGTGTCTTCCTCGTCCCCACTACAATCCTCGTTAAAAACACCAAGAACAGTGAATGAGTTTCACGGCTCTCTCCATCATCATCGCGACCACAGAAATGGAGTGGCGGCGGCGGCTGCAGCAGGCACCGGGCCGCGGCCAGCTCTGCGGTCGCCGCCGGCACAAGCGGCGGTGGCGTCGACGGCGGCCGTGACGTCGCCGGCAGACGAGGAGCGCGATACCGATGCCGACTCGAGTAACGACTCGGGGTCTGCGTGGGACGGCGTTAAGTTGCTGCCGTTCGCCGCGTCTGTCGGCGTGGGCCTCGCGACGTGGGCTTTAATTCCAGGTGCGCTTGAACTGCGAGTGGGCTTTGATTCGGCGGTTCACCCTCCTCCTCTTTCCCACTCTCTTCCCCCCTCTTCTTCATCCCACCTCTTCCCCCACCCCCCCCACTCTTCCTCTCTCTCCTTTCCCCTCCTCCCTCCTCCGTCCGCCCCCCGCCCCCCCCCTAATTCGCAGTGCCCGAGGGCTTAACGGACCAGGCGTGGCAACTGCTGGCGGTGTTTCTGACGACTATAACGGGGCTAATTCTCGGGTGAGTGAGTAGCGGAGCGGCTTACAGCGAGGACGAGTCAAGCCCTGCGTCAAAGCGTCCGCTAGTCCCTTTTTCCTTTAGTCCCTTTTTCCGCTACTCCCTTTTTCCGCTACTCCCTTCTTCCGCTACTCCCTTCTTCCGCTAGTTCCTTTCCCAACTCCTCCCATCCTTTTCCCCACTCTTCCCGCTTCCCGTACTCACCCCCCATCGCCGTTTCATCTCCTCCTAATGCACCGTACTCGCATAATTCAGAGCGCCTCACGCCGTTTCATCTCGTTCCGCCGTTTCGTCTGCTCCTAATTCATCCTTCTGAATTCTGTTGAGGTGGCTGGTAGGATTCATCCTAAGTTATCTCTCCCCCCTTCCCCCCGTGCAGTTAGGTGCATTTTGAGGCGCCTCAAAATGAATTCTGTTGAGGTGGCTGGTAGGATTCATCCTAATTTATCTCTTCCCCCTCTCCCCCACCCCCCTCCCCTCCCCCCCTTTGCCCCCCCTCTTCTCCGACAGACCGCTTCCCGTGGGGGCGTGGGCCTTCGTTTGCCTCTCCTTCGCTATAATCACAGGCACTCTCTCTTTCTCTGACGCCATTAGGTGAGGAGGTGACGCCATTAGGTGAGGGGGCGCAGATAGGCTGTTACGCGCTTTGTAACTAGAGCACTGGGTGAATGGGTCTACAGACTCGTTATAGGGAGTCTCATGACTCGTTGTAGGGCAGAAGAGGGTAGGGCCAGTTAGCGATGATGCGTACTGCTGTTTTTGTGAGTAATATCTCCCACCCCTCTGTCATACCGGCCTTCCCATCCCCGCCTCCTTCCGCTCCCCTCCATTCCGCCCTCCCCCTATCCGAGGTCTCCCATTTCACCTTTCCGCCTTCTCCCCCCGCAGCGCAGTGACCACGGGGTCATCTGACTCATCGTCATCTCTTCCTTCTTCGCGCGCGGCTTCGTCACCACGGGGCTGGGCGACCGTGTGGCCATTCACTCACACACCCCAACCCCCCCTTCTCCCCCCCAGCGCAATGACCACGGGGTCATCTGGCTCATCGTCATCTCCTTCGCTCGCGGCTTACACTCCCTCTCCTCTCAACCTTTCCCAACCCCTTCCAACCCCCGCCACCTTCCCTCCCCCCCCCCCCCCCACCCTTCTCCCCCGCAGCGCAATGACCACGGGGTCATCTGGCTCATCGTCATCTCTTCCTTCTTCGCTCGCGGCTTACACGCCCTCTCCTCCCAACCTTTCCCAACTCCTTTCAACTCCACCTCCGTCGCCCCAACCCCCCCCCCCCCCCCCCCCCCCCCCCCCCCCCCTCCCCAGCGCTATGACGAACGAGGTCATCTGGCTCATCGTCATTTCGTTCTTCTTCGCGCGCGGATTCGTTACCACGGGGCTGGGCGACCGCATTGCCACGCTCTTCGTCCAGTGGTTCGGCAGCAGCACCTTGGGGCTCAGCTACGGCCTTGCAGGTACGGCGATTGTAGGTACGGTACAGTCAAGGCAGGTACGTAACGTCAGGTGCGGTGTTGTAGGTATGGCGTTGCAGATTCAGTGTACACCCCTCAGGTCCCCTTGAGTCTGTGTGTGGTTGTGTAGGTTTGGACCAAACAGGTTTGGTCCTTTCCGTTCCCCTCTCTCCTACCTTTTAAACCATCCCCCAACCCTTTTTTCCCTATCCCTCCGCATCCGCTCTCCCCCTCCTCTCCCCTTCTACCCTTGCCAGCAAGCGAAGCCCTGTTGGCCCCAGCCATGCCCAGCACCACGGCGCGGGCCGGAGGCGTCTTCCTCCCCATCATCGACTCTCTCTCAAAGCGCTTTGACAGCCGCCCCAACGACCCCAGCAGCAAGAAGCTCGGCGCGTTTCTCATCATGACTCAACTCCAGACCTCAGCCCACAGCAGCGCCATGTTCCTCACTGGTAAGATATCCTTTAGGGGTGGGAATCCATTCTTTGAGTCGACTTAGGAAGCTTGATGCGATCCTCATTATGACTCAACTGCAGATCTCCGCCCACAGCAGTGCCATGTTCCTCACAGCATGTCACCTCGATGCTCATGTTCAAAATGCCTGCCCTGCCCCCCTATCATCTTGCTTTTTTTCCATTCCTCGCCCCCCTCTCTATCACATTCTTGCAGGAGCCGGGCAGAACCTGCTCTGTATGAAACTAGCGCAGGAAATGGGTGTGGCGATCCCAAACGCCTTTGCCACGTGGATGGGGATGGCAGTGGTGCCGGGGATGCTGGGCCTGCTGGTCACCCCCATGCTCATGTTCAAGGTGTTTGCTCCCGAGGTGAAGGAGACGCCAGAGGCGCCGGGGCTTGCTAAGAAGCGGCTTGAGGAGATGGGGGCGGTGAGCGGGAAGGAGATGATCATGATTGGCACCATGGGACTCGCGATTACCATGTGGATCATGGGGTGAGTACGATAGTGATGATGCATAGGTGTGGTATCTCTAACATCAGAAAAGGTGACTCAAATGGTTGGAGGTTGCGGGTGATGGGCCGGATCAGTGGGAAGGAGATGATTATGATTCGCACGGGGCTGCAATCGGGGGTATGCGTTGTTGTGTGGGTTTGGGCATTCTCTCTATATCCTTGCTCGCTATCCCTGTCTTCTCACTCCCCCCCTCCCCTCTTCCTCACCCTTCCCCAATGCAGTGAATCGCTGGGCATTCCCAGTGTGGTAACTGCCATGTCAGCGCTCTCCCTCCTCCTCTCAGGCGTCGTCTCGTGGTCCGATTGCCTCTCCGAGCGATCCGCATGGGACACCCTCATGTGGTTCGCTGCTCTCATCGCCATGTCCGCCCAGCTCACCCACATGGGGGTCGTTGGCTGGATGGCCGATGGGGTTGCAGGCGGGCTCGGGATGGTCCCGGGGGGGATTTTGGCAGGGGATATGGCCACGGGGGGGATGCTGGGGGAGGAGATGGGGGGAATGGCGGGGATGCTGGGGGGAGATTTGGGGGAGATGGTTGGGGCGGGGGTGGCGGCAGTGGGAGCGGGAGCGGGGGGAGCGGTAGCAGCAGTGGGAGCAGCGGCAGGAGCAGTGGCAGCAGCGGGAGGGGCGGCGTTAGAGCCAATGACTAGTGCCGTAACCGCTACTGCCATCACCACTACTGCTGCCGCCCTACCACCCCTAGACTCCCCAGCAGAGCTAACTTGGGTCTCCAGTTTCTTCCAGCTGCAAGTCCTATACTTCCTCGCGCATTACCTTTTTGCCAGCCAGACAGCCCATGTGGGGGCGCTCTATGCGGCTTTCCTTGCCATGCAGCTAGCGGCTGGTGTTCCCGGGGAGGTTGGTGCTTTTGCGCTGGCGCTAAATACGAATTTGTTTGGCGCGATTACGCATTATAGCAGCGGGCAGGCGGCGCTGTATTATGGAGGTGAGCGATAGTGGTTGTTTTGTAGTTGCCTGTGATTGATTGGTAGCAGATTGTTCTGTGTTTCTATGTTTTTTCCGCTCGCATGCACTGATATTTGTCGCTTTGTTGGTGGTTCTTGTTGCAGCTGGTTATGTTAGTCTCCCTGACCTGTTCAAGATTGGAGGTATTTCTGCCATTGTCAACCTGGTTCTTTGGACATCAGTATGTTCTATCATGTGGAAGCTCCAAGGAGTATTCTAGGCTTGACAAGGATTGCGCTTTTTCGGTGGTTTAGGGTTCATGGAGATGTTTACTGATTCATCACCTTCCACCCAATAGCGTCGTTTAGCAAGCCAGAAACTCTTAGGGCAGTCAAAAAAACTAAAACCCCAAGGGGAACCTGTATGCATTTTCGGGATGGATCAACCCTAAAAACGGGAACCTTCGTTGTGTTGAGGGTTGATGCCGCATCCATTTCAAATGGGTAATATTTTTTTTTTCTGCGCGTTTCCGATCAGGGAGTGATATTTATCACCCATAATGAATTTGTTTTTGGACTCACAAATTAACACAGAAGAACGCGATGTGCGCGTAGTAGTAGACGGCGGTCGTAACCATTTTTTCAATAAGTTGGACACAAAGTTTGGTGCTGGTAGCATTTCTCTTTAAGTCACGGCTCGGCTTGTTCGCCTAGCCTCTTGGGCAGTTCGGGGTCGAAAATCCTACGGTCGAGATTTTCTGGCCCTACTTTGGTCATTCCTCTGGCACTCTTCGGCCCCAGTTTGATCATTTCCCCCTTCCGTATGTGCTTTGGCTCGGCTTCACCTCCACCCATACCAGGGGCTCTTACCCTGGTTTGCGGCTTGTCGAACCAGTCTCCGCCCGAAGTGAGAACCCTCACCCACAACAACGACGTCGGGCGACATGTCAGAGATCGCCGTCACTTCATGTCGGTTGTCCTGCGACCGTCGAAACTAGTGGTGCGTACACCAGAGTGTCGCATGAAGGTCGCGTTCATCGCCCACCACCCCCCTGCACGCGGTTGTCCCTAAATTAAGGGCGGGTCCAGCGCGTACATTTTCCGTACATTACAGTTCATCTAGTGCGGTAATATGTATTTCGTCACGGTTCAAAACGGTGCAATTTCAAAACCATTGTGCACCGCCTGCTATCTTTTCAAACCTCGACAAATGAACTGTATAGTACCTGTAAACGTACGCGCTGGACCCGCCCTAACCCAACCCCTCCCCTGAAATTTGCTATTCTCGCCGCTCTCCGCCAAATTCAAACCTACCACAAACCAGCTGACTGCGCCACACCCATACTGGTTCTGTGCATACCTAACCACACCTGAACCACACGCAAACGTTTCTAGCAATTCCCACCACCATTTTTTTTCCGTACCCGAGCCATCCAAATCAAGCGGACCAAGGGTCCAGGCTGGATCCATGCCTGTAATGAATTTTCAGTCCATTCCCAACTTGAGGTTTCTACCGAACCAGAGAAACACGTCCTGCAACTACCGAGACAAGCTGCCAAGCCCCTTAGGGTTACAGAAGGGTTTGACACGGTTGTTTACGCAATAATACGATACAGCGTGTTTCAGTGTGTTTTGTGTTGCAAGGTACAGCCGTGCCCACCCTCGGATTCCTCTGCACTATTGGTGCCTGCTCGATGTCTTCGAGGGGGCTGTTCGTATGGCTGGCAGCGATAGGAGAAGCACGTGACAATCCCAAGGGTCTGAAATGGATGCGGGAGGGGGGTGAAAGCTCGAAACGAAACAAACACTTTTTGTGGTGAAGTGAAAGGGTTGTTGGTTCGGCTGGCATGTCACCGCTGGCGCCGCCTTGACCTTGAACGGGATTTGCGGAAGGCTCGTTACGTTGCATGTTTAGGAACCGGGCGATTGTGTGATCTTGGATTTGACGTGTCGCGTCGGCCTTGTTCCTGGAGGCAGATTCGTTCGTGTTTTACAACACTCGTCTGCTCCATCTCTCGTCTTTTGCAGCCCTGTACATACGTCTCGGAAATAATGGCTTCAAACCGACTTAGGAATTTCCAGTCTACATAACGGATTCGCCATCCATGGTTGAGTGTTAAGTAACCCCCCAGAGTCCCGTCATAGAGTTCGTGCGCCTAGTAACTTGACTAACCCCCTGTGGATTGACCAACCCAGGATTCGCGCGGCAGCCTTGAAACGTGGATTCGAGACCTCTTGAAACGTGTGCAGACGTAGAATGAGATTTAGTTTGTAAGCCAAGGAATTCGAGGCGTGCATTCGGGAAAAGTCACTGCGGAGGAGGCGAGGAGTCGTGTTTCGAAGCGAGGGTCACGAGGAAAGCGGTTCAAGAGTGCATGAGAGGGATGGACGCATGAGGGAATCGGCGTCGCACGAGGGAATCGTCGCACAGGAGACGAAGAGGCGGACACGCCGTGCTCCTCCCGCGTCGCCGTCATCTGCAACCGATTCTAGAATCTGGGGAGCTTCAGAGCCTCTGACTCAACGCCGTGTCCCTCCCGAATTAACTGTTGAGTCGACTCAAAAGCCACCGTGCCATCTGACTCGACGCCGTGCGTCTCAAACAGCGACTGCCGGTCGGCTCGTTTTCGAATCTCTCTGGGACGGCGTCAGCTTCGTTACCGTTGCTTCCTACCTAGGCGCCGGGCAGGCGCCGTGCCGCCGCTGAGTAAGTAAGCAAGCTCGTCCTATGCTTTTGAGAGTCACAGTGTGAGCTTGTAGTCTCGGGGTAGAGGTCGCTCTCCTCTGTAACTGCGCACAGAACGCTTGTCGGTAAACTTGTTTCAAATCACTGTGTCTCTCTTTGCTCGGCGTGTCTCCCGTCGTCAGTCTGTCTTTTGCGCCGGTTGTTCCGCCTTCCGCTTACCTGCTTCCACCCTCCCCCCTACCCTCTTCCGCCCTGTTTCGCAGCATGGCATCTGCGGGGTTTCTCTCCCGCAGATGGCGCGGCCTTACCCAGCAAGGTTCCGCCAGCGCGGTTTCGTCCGCCAGCGACGCGGGGACCGCCGGAAGCACGTCCTTGCGCCGCCACGACTCGGGTTCGAGTCCTGACACCGACACTTCTTTCAGCTCACCTATAACGCACATGGGTTCGGGCCCTTTAACGGGGACAGTGGGAGGGAGGCGGCGCGGGGAGGTTGCGGGGAGGGGGACGCTGGGCGCAGCTGGGGCTACGAGCGAATCTAGAAGCGAATCTAGGAGGAGCGAATCTGTAGCAAGATTCGCTTATGATGACGATAGTCTCTCTCCCGCGAGGCGGCGTCCCCCAGGATTAGGGCGGCGCGCACTGTCGTTTGGCATGTCGCCGTGGCGCTTTGACTATAACGATGCCGTTACTAACGCGGCTTCTGGCGAAACCGCCCCTGTGAGAGGATCTAGCAGCGTACGGCAGAGGAGGCGGGGATTTTCGCGCAGAGGAAGGGCGGGGGAACGGGCGAGTGGAGGCGCGGATTCGTCCCCCTTGACGCCCGCGGGCGCGCGGACGCGGGGGGCTGCGCGCCTGTGGGCCGGGCGGAACAGCAGCGCGTCCGCAGGTGGAGAGTCCCCCAGGGGAGCCGGGGGGACCGCCGCCGTGGCTGCTGCTGCGGCGGCTGCGGCTGCCGCGGCGGCTGCGCTAGCAGCAGCTGAAGAGGCGTCAGGAGGAGGATTTGTGGACGTTCCCCTTGACGGATTCCATCAGATGTCTGTCAGAGGCACAACGTAAGTCGTTTTCTCAGAAGGATTTGGAGCTGGGAGGGTTTTGAAGCCTTTCTTAGCCAGATGGAAAAAGACCCCCTCATCCTGCTGATTTTGTTCCCCCCTTTTCGCACTCTCTGCTTTCAGTCGTGGCTCTCCAGCATCCCCACCGCATCTCACCGCATCAGACCGCAGATCATCTTCCAGAGGTATAGCGTATAGCAACTTTATGTCGTTATTCGATCCTATTCTGTTTCTGATATTTATATTTGAAATGTTTTATTTCGTGGAATGACCCTATGTCATCCGAATGATGCCATGTCATCCTTATAACGTCACACCATCCTAATGACTTCATGTCATCCTAATGATGCCATGTCATCCAAATGACGTCATCCCACCCACATCATCAAACAGTGCGCAGGTGGCTCTCCGCCTTGAACGTGATTGGTCGCGTGCGCCGCGACCGCCAGATCAGCGATCGCCAGCTCAGCGCCACGTCATCCATGCCTGCGGCTCACCGCTTCCAGGCACCTTCCCCTCCTCTGGGGCAGGGGCAGCAGGGACAACAGGAGCAGGAGCCAAGGCAGGAACAGGAACAGGAACAGGGGCGGGGGCAAGGGCAAGGGCAAGGGCAAGGGCAGGGGCAGGGGCAAGGGCAAGTTGCATCTCGGAATTACATGGTCAGTGGGGGTCATAGTTTCAGCAGCGGATACAGCCCCAGCCGCGGATATAGCCCGAGCCGGTTTAGTCCGAGCCGGGGGTTTAGTCCGAACCACAGGTTCGGTGGAGGGATGAGTGGCGGTGTAAATGGCGTCTTGGGTGGGAGTTTTAGTGGCGTTCTGAACGGGAGCGAGTCTCCTAGTGCTCTGCAGACACAGTCGAATCCCCACCAGCAGTATCAGCACTATCGGCAGCAGTACAACCACCAACTTCAGCAGCAGCAGCAACAACAGCAGCAGCTGAATCCGAATCAGAACCATCATCATTATCATCAAAACCAGAGTGAGCAGGAACAGCTGCAGCAGCAGCAGCAGGCGGTGCTATTTCCTTTCCGCCAGCCTTTCAGGGAGCTACAAACCGGGGGAGGCGCTATCCCCGTGTTCCCATACCCTTCCCCACAACACCCCCTCCTCCAATCCCCCAACGGCCATCCCTCCACCCCTAACGCCCTCCATCCTTCCAGTTCTCCTGTGCTTCAATCCGCCAATATCCTTCATCCCACCAACTCCCCTCTGCACCAAGCCATGTCCAATCGGACCTCCCCCTCCTCCTCCCCTTCACCCAACTCCCCCCGCCTCCACCCCTCCTCTCAACCGCACCTAACCTACTCCAACTCCTTGCCGTTCCGGACGCTTCAGAATCTCCCTGTGCTGCCCCCTCTGCCGGATCAGGACGATGGGGATGACGGCCCACCGCCCGTTGTTGCCACCCGCCCGGCCACGGCTCACTCCAGTCCAAGCCCTGCCGCCCCGGCCCGCGCTGCAGTCGCTGCTACGGTGACTGATTCGCCGCTGGTGCTGTTTCGAGATAGGGAGAGGAGCCGGGAGAGGGAGGGAGGAGGGGAGAGGGAGAGGGAGAGGGAGAGGGAGAGGGAGAGGGAGAGGGAGAGGGAGAGGGAGAGGGAGAGGGAGAGGGAGAGGGAGAGGGAGAGGGATGGGGAGAGGGAGATGGGTGGAGAACGGGAGAGGGAGTGGGAAAGGGACAGAGAGAGGGAGCGGGAGAGGGAGCGGGAGAGGGAGCGGGAGAGGGAAAGAGGTGGGGGTTTATCGTCGGCTCGTCTCCCAAGGTGGTTGCGGTCGCGCCGTGCCAGAAGGAATGGTGAGGCCCTTTTGCTAACCCACTCCACTCTGCCGCCTCTTCTCTCATGCTCCCCACCGCTTCCCTACACTTGTCTCCTCTCCCCTCCACTCCTCTCCCCTCCACTCCTCTCCCCCTCCCTTTCTCCTTCTTTTTATCCTCCCCTCCCCTCTCCTCCCCTCGCTTTCCCCCCGTGTTTCCTCTCCCCTCCCGTCCCCTCCCCTTTCCCCCCTTGTTTCCCCTCCCCTTTTTTCTCCCCTTTCCCATCCCCTTTCTCTCCACTTTCCCATCCCCTTTCTCTCCACTTTCCCATCCCCTTTCTCTCCACTTTCCCATCCCCTTTCTCTCCACTATCCCATCCCCTTTCTCTCCACTATCCCATCCCCTTTCTCTCCACTATCCCATCCCCTTTCTCTCCACTATCCCATCCCCTTTCTCTCCACTTTCCCATCCCCTTTCTCTCCACTATCCCATCCCCTTTCTCTCCACTATCCCATCCCCTTTCTCTCCACTATCCCATCCCCTTTCGCTCCACTATCCCATCCCCTTTCCCCTCCCCTTTCCCATCCCCTTTCTCTCCACTATCCCATCCCCTTTCTCTCCACCATCCCATCCCCTTTCTCTCCACTTTCCCATCCCCTTTCTCTCCGCTATCCCATCCCCTTTCTCTCCACTATCCCATCCCCTTTCTCTCCACTTTCCCATCCCCTTTCTCTCCACTATCCCATCCCCTTTCTCTCCACTTTCCCATCCCCTTTCTCTCCACTATCCCATCCCCTTTCTCTCCACTATCCCATCCCCATCCCTTCCCAGCCCCCTCGTCAGAAGCACCAGACGATTTCTGGTGGCAGGGGGAGATGAGTGAGGAGGACTCGGGAGTGATTGAGACAGCCATGCATATTTTTCCCCATTTCCCATCCCCTCCCAACTCCGCCCCCCCCTTCTCATCCCATCCCCCAGCCCCTTCGTCTGAAGCACCGGATGATTTCTGGTGGCAGGGGGAGATGAGTGAGGAGGACTCGGGGGTGATCGAGGCAGCCATGCAGGCCATTCTCATGGACGGACTGGCCGGCGCGCTGCAAGGAGGGGGAGGGGGAGCGCTGGGAGGGGGGCTGGGAGGGGGGCTGCATGGAGCGGGAGGGAGGAGGTTGATGGTGCCGCAGATGTTGTTGTTTGAGGATGAGGAGGCGTGGACGTATGAGCAGCTGCTGGAGCTGGATCGGAATAACGTCAGGCGGTGAGTGGTTGGGTGTGGTTGGGTGTGGTCGGGTGTGGTTGGGTGTGACTAGTCGTCTAATAGGGGAGGGAATGTGCAGTGCAGTGAGGCAGATGCTGTTGTTTGAGGATGAGGAGGCGTGGACGTACGAGCAGCTGTTAGAGCTGGATCGGAATAATGTCAGGCGGTGAGTGGTTGGGTGTGGTTGGGTGTGGTTGGGTGACTAGTCATTTACTGGGGCAGGGAATGTGCAGTGCAGTGAGGGGATGTTGTTGTTTGAGGACAAGGAGGCGTGGACGTGTGAGCAGCTGTTAGAGCTGGATCGGAATAACGTCAGACGGTGAGTGGTTGGCTCTGACCATATGTTTTGGGTCGAAATGGGTGTTCGTTGAATGGAGGGACGCATGGACGTACGAGGCTTAGTTACACTCCCTTATTTTCCGATTCCACGACGCCCCCCCTTCCTCCCGCCACATCTGCTCCTCTCCTTCTCCCCCCCCCTCCCCACAGCGGGCTGAAGCAGCAGCAGATGCGGAAGCTGGACCGGCGCAAGGTGAAGGCATGAGGACAAGAGGGCTTATCTGTTGCTCCTCTAACCCCCATCTATCCAGACCTTCACCCTGCCTCTCTTCCTCGTTCGCCACAGCGGGCTGAAGCAGCAGGGGATGCGGAAGCTGGACTTTTGAGGCGCCTCAAAAGTCACAGCAGGCTGAAGCAGCAGGGGATGCGGAAGCTGGACCAACACAAGGTGAAGGCATGAGGGCGAGATGGCTTGATCGTTGCTCTACTGTCCTCATTGGCCCCCTTCTCTTCCCCTGTTATTATTCTGCCTGTCCCTCGTGCAGGGGATTAAAGCAGCAGGAGATGCAGAAGCTAGATCGGCGCAAGATGGCGCATGGGGACGAGAGGGCTAAATTATTGCACTTCTAACCCCATCGTTCCCGTTCTCTCCCCCTGTTATGATCTTATTTCTTGTCTCCCCCACAGAGGGCTGAAGCAGCAGGAGATGTGGAAGCTAGATCGGCGCAAGATGGCGCATGGGGATGAGAGGGTGGATTGCCAGATATGCCTGTCCGAGGCCGTGGCAGGGGAGCTCCTCACCTCGCTGCCTTGCAAGCACACGTACCAGTGAGTGGGGTTAGGGTTGCGTAGTTAATGTCACGGGGGCATGGGTACGAGTGGGGTGTGGGCATGGGGACGAGAGGGTGGATTGCCAGATCTGCCTGTCTGAGGCCGTGGCAGGGGAGCTACTCACCTCGCTGCCATGCAAGCACACGTACCAGTGAGGGGGGTTAGACGGGCACTTCGTTATTTGCGCCAGTGAGTGGGGTTAGGGGTACATCACTGTTGCCAAACGTGGGTGGTTGGGGTTAGGGGTACATCACTGTTGCCAAATGTGGGTGGTTGGGGTTAGGGGTACATCACTGTTGCCAAACGTGGTAGTGAGAGCTCAGCCGCGCACACCTATACTGAGTACCGCCCTCCTTTTGTGCGTGGCACCTCTTTCCCACACACACTTATATCAACACCATTTGTCACAGCATTACTGCAAGTAAGCTCTCTTGTTGTAGTAGCATTCTTCCGAGACAAAGAAAGTATGGGGCCGCAATTAAAGGGGTTTGAGCCAAGAATGTGACTTTTTATGGCAAGGGTATACATATAGACATGTAAGTCCCAATGTTTTCTTTCTCCCTCTCACTATACATTCCCTCTCTTCCCTGCCCCTCGTTTTTTTCACACCCTCGATACAGCGACGCCTGCATCTCCCCATGGTTCAAGACCCACCGCACGTGCCCGATTTGTCGGTATGAGATTGCGGACTAAACTTCAAACCCGCACAGCTCGATTCGTCGGTGCTCGGCACTCCAGAACTTCTGGCTGCTTCAAGAGACACCACACGTGCCCTGCCCATATTGTCGTTTTCGGAATCGCCGAATACGGTAGCTCCCTTCATTGCGCTAGAGGCCCAACAGCTTGTCCTGCGAATGGCACGGTGTGTGCGCCGCGTGAGTGCCTGCTGCATGGTATGTGCCATACGATGCAAATGCACCCCACCACATTGTGCTGTGTGGGTGGATTGAACAGGCAGGGGTGTTGAGCGGGATTCGCTGTTTCTTGTAAATGGGATTGATCGAATACCAGGAGGGGTATGTGTAGTGCGGCTAAGATTCTTCTCTCTAGCTTGTAACACAGATTACTCATTGTCATACGGTAGACGTAGGCTCTTATGGAGGGGTTACTGCTTCCGAGTGTTGCATTGTGACAGTAGGACCCTTGGTGCTATGCTTGCGTGTGGGCGTGCTATGGTAGGGTTGTTACGGTAGGGTTGTTCTTGGGCTATTCTCTTGATATTGGGATTTTTATTTCAGTTGAATAAAGATTCACAAGTTACAGCAGGTCCTGTTGTTCAGTACCTCTGGGTGCATCATAACAAGGGGGTGGTGATATGTTAGACGCCTGAGTTGGATAAGTTGGACCTGTAGCGGTATTGTCCGGTTCAACATGTAGCGTTGCGGTTTAAATCGGCCACTTTGAAAGAGTGGAACTGTGGCCGCTTTTCGCAGCAGTGCGGTTGGGCGAGCAGCAGTCTGAAAAAAACATTTCAGCAAAAGCAATTGACTTAGCCAAGGCTGACAACCAGACCGAGTCAGAGCCCCTCCTCTCTTGCTCTTCTTTTGGCTCTTGCTTCGCTTCCCACGAAACCCCACCATACTCGGCGTGCGACTACTCACACGCCTAAGATGACTCGACAACCTTTCCTCACCTTCTCCTGCACCTCCCAAACCCCCCGTACCCTCCAACCCCTCTCCCGTTTCACCCATTCGCATGCCCGTTCTCATGCTCATTCCTTGTCCAGACGCTCTTTGAGAAAGGACTGAAAGTGCAGACAAGGACCGAACGCGCAGCAGATCTGCATCGAGAGATTTCGACCAATCGGGAAGCGCCCGGTGCTGCAGGAAGTGCGCGACAACCCCGAGGATGCGCGGGTCTCTATAATATGCGCCGTGGTTGAGGTCGAAACGGCCGGTGAGCTCTCCTATGTGCTCTTCGATCATCACACACAGCTGCTTGATCTGCTCGGAAGCAAGAGGGGAGCAAGGGGCATGAGAGATTACTATGAGGATGCGGGGGTCTCGACGGTATGCGCCGTGGTTGAGGTCGAAACGGCCGGTGAGCTCTCCTTTATGCTCCTCGATCATCACGCATGGTTGCTTCACCTGTTGGAAAGAGGGGAGGAAAGACTCGGATGTCGTCTCGTCCATCCGAGGATGCGCAGGTTTCGACGGCATGCCCCGTGGTTGACTTTTGAGACGTCTCAAAAGTCGCAGGTTTCGACGTCATGCCCCGTGGTTGACTTTTGAGACGTCTCAAAAGTCGCAGGTTTCGACGGCATGCCCCGTGGTTGACTTTTGAGACGTCTCAAAAGTCGCAGGTTTCGACGGCATGCCCCGTGGTTGACTTTTGAGACGTCTCAAAAGTCGCAGGTTTCGACGGCATGCCCCGTGGTTGAGATCAAAGCGGCCGGTGAGCTCTCCTACATGCGCTTCTATCATCACACACAGCTGCTTGATCTGCAAGAGAAGGAGATGGAAAGGGCATGGACGAATGCCGGACAAGTCCACTGCTACCATACCTGCCGCACGAACTCCCTGCGTGCCGTACCTGCCGCACAAACTCCCTGCGTGCCGTACCTGCCGCACAAACTCCCTGCGTGCCGTACCTGCCGCACAAACTCCCTGCGTGCCGTACCTGCCGCACAAACTCCCTGCGTGCCGTACCTGCCGCACAAACTCCCTGCGTGCCGTACCTGCCGCACAAACTCCCTGCGTGCCGTACCTGCCGCACAAACTCCCTGCGTGCCGTACCTGCCGCACAAACTCCCTGCGTGCCGTACGTGGCGCACGAGCTCTCTGTCAGTGAGCCGGGGGTTTTTCTTCATTCTCCTCATCTCCGATCGTACCACCTCATACGTCCCTGACGCCGCTGCTGCCTCTTCAAGCTTGCTGTCCTCCCACAGAAACTCGTATAGCAATTGCTGTTGCTGCTGCTCTCCACTCCCCTCTTCCTCTTCATTCTCTCTCTTAGCGTCGTCATTGTTGTCATCCTCCTCCTCCTCCTCCTCCTCCTCCTCCTCCTCCTCCTCCTCCACCCACTCTTCCTCGGTTTCAACCAGAGGTGAAAATGCAGAAGATGAAACTGCGGTGGACGAAACTGAGGCAGATGAAATCGCATCATGTGCAACTTGAGGAGATGAAACTCTGGCAGATGAAAGGTCAGCACAAGAAACTACAGGAGATGAAATTGCGACTGCTGCACTCACTGCACCCCCTGCACTCACTGCACTCACTGCACCCGCTGCACCCGCTGCGCCTGCCGCACTCACTGCACCACTTGAACCCGAATCGTCCACACAACTTCCGACTCTCTTCCTCTTTGCCGCCCGCTCACCCACACCACCCTTCGCATCAATCCCCATCCTTCCTGGACCCCCGACCAGACCACCCGCACCACAACTTTCCCCCTCACTTCCTTCCACCACACACTCTCTCACGCCCCAGTCCCTTCCCCAGATCCCGCCATCATTACCGCTATCCCTGCATTCCCCAACCCCCTCAGCACTCAACCCTCTAGGTGTGCCCCCAGAGCCCACACCCCACAGCCCTTTCCAGCTCCAATTTCTCCCTGTCCTCCTAACATCCTCCATATAAACATCCTCAGTATCAAGCTCTGCAGCTGATCGTCCATCCCCGATATAAGCATCCCCAGTAGCATCCTGAGCCTGCCTGCTGCCATTCACACCCACATCGTTCTCACCTCTGTCTCCCTCAAGCCTCCTGACCCATTCCCAAGGTTTCTTCTCACTGTTACCTATGCTTTCGCTCCTGCTGAAGCTAACCCCTGCCTTGGTGCTGTGGGCGTAACTGCTGCTACTGATGCCGCTGTTCAATCCCCTGAAGTTACTTTGAGGCGCCTCAAAATACACCTCACTGTGGGCATAACTGCTGCTACTGATGCCGCTGCTCAATCCCCTGAAGTGACTGTTTCTGGGTGCTTCTCTGCTGCTCCCGCTGCTAACTAGTTTAGAAGGAATGCCAGTGGAATTCGCTACAGGAGAATCACAACACAATCCAACCCTTCGTCCTCCTACACTCTTAGCCTTGGAAACCTTTCCGCTCTTCCCCCTCTGCCTGCCCTGGACAATGCTTAGATTTTGGTGAGTTCCTAAGGATTTGCTTTCGGGCAGTTGACTCTCTGCTGTTGTTTCTGCCCGAGCTGCCCGAGACAGCCACATGTGGCCTCCTCCCTGCTCTAACGGTCTAACCTGGGCCGTGTGTGCAGCAGCGGCAGCAGCACTTGTACCAGCAGCTCCAGCAGCGTCACCACCATCAGACGCAACAGCAGCAGCAGTATCAGAGGAGGTAAATCCAGAGGGTCCTATAAATCCTATTTCTGATTCGGACCTTGCAAATTGTCTCCTTCTCAGCGTCTTCTGCGTTACAAGAAACCGATGCTGTAACGGGGTTACAGGCTTGTGTTTGTACGACCGAGGGAGAGTGGGATGGAGAGGGAGGGGAGGCAAAGTAGGGTAGGCACAAGATGAGTGATGTGTGGTGGTGTGCGGTGCTGTGGGAAACTGGTTTGGGATGTGAGTGGGAGGGCTTGCTGCTCCTGCTGCTGCTGCTGACTCTGGTTTTTCTGCTACTTCTGATTCTGCTCCTGCTGTTCCTGCTGCTTTTGCTGATTCTGCTGCTACTGCTGTTCCTGCTGGTTCCAACGCTGCTTCTGCTCCTGCTCCTTCGTCTGCTGCTGCTGCTGCTGCTGCTGCTGCTGCTGCCACTTCTTCTTCTGCTGCTTCTGCGTCTCCTGGTATTAACCCCGCAGCAAGCCCTGCACGAGCTGCCGTTCTTTCACCATCCACTCTCTCCTCTACCTCCACCCCCCCTGACTCCCCTGAGTCCCTTCCCCCCTGAGTCCCCCCTTCTCTTCCCCATGGAAATACCGAATGTGCCTCATTATCAGGACCCAGACCCAGCCCCTCCAATGACTCACCTCCCCCAGTGTCAACCCCACCCGCATCTACAGTGTCATCCTGGTAACCAGGCATAAGCTTCCCTTCTAAAGACTGTGTCTTGGCCTCAGCCAGAAGCTTCTGAACGTTCCAATGCTCCACGTGGTGTGACCAGAGGTGCAGATCCAACACCTCGTCTACATACACACTCGCAAAGCTGAGCTCTTTAGGACCTAGCCCGAACACAATCGTTACAATCACGCTCCGTACAACCTCCACAAGTATCGGCGCCGCTATGTGGGAAATGAGCGAGATAAGCACGAAGGGGACGAGGAAAATGACGTTCCAAAGTACGACCCTGGTCAGGTTAACCATGTAGATAGACCAAAGGAGGAAGCGTGCTTTAGTGCCGTGACGAGCATGAGAAGAGGAGGGGGAGGAGGAGGGGTCAGAGGGGGAGGAGGAGGACGGGGAGGAGGAGGACGAGGAGGAGGTGGGGAGGGTGGGTAGGGGGGTCCAGAGAGGCATCTTAAGTAACTCTTTTAGGTGGGGAAAGATGTAGGCGCGCGCTATTGGCTCGACGGAAAGTGCCAGGCTGGCCTCGTCTAATTTGCCGGCGTGGATCACGAGTGCTGACATGGCAGGTGACCAGTGGTAACCGGGTGCGTGGTAGATGTTACCGTTGTGGTACGCAGGCTGGCGCCAGGTCTGCAAGAAGAAAGGCAGAGGGAGGAGAGGCAGAGGGAGGAGAGGCAGAGGGAGGAGAGGGAGAGAGAGGAGAGGCAGAGGGAGGAGAGGCAGAGGGAGGAGAGGCAGAGGGAGGAGAGGCAGAGGGAGGAGAGGCAGAGGGAGGAGAGGCAGAGGGAGGAGAGGCAGAGGGAGGAGAGGCAGAGGCAGAGGCAGAGGCAGAGGCAGAAACCTCGAGTTTAGGGTTTGTGTCTTAATTTGGTGCCTTCAAGTAGACGAGATGTTTATGTGATGAATCGTGGCAGCGGATGTCTGTTTTAGCAATGTCTCGAAACAAACTAATTAACCCCAGCTTCGCACCTTAACAAGAAAAAGAGAAAGAAAAAAAAAGAAGGAAAAGCGAACTCATCAGCCCAGACCCATATCAACAAAGGGAGGATAAGGAAAGGTAAACCACTTGGGAAGGGCGAGACGAAATAAAACTGGTTAAACAAAGAAATCAGCACACACCTTAGAAGATAAATAAGCTTCAGCAGCAATACTGCTGGCACCGGATAAACCAACAGCAGCCACCACCACGAGGGGCCACAGCAGCAGCTGAGTCACCTCAATATGAACGACCTGCATCAGCACCACCTCCCAGAAGAGCGCAGAACCGAGCACCACTCCCAGCACCACCAGCACTGACAGAACAGTCACCACCGCAAGCCGGAACACCCCTGCGCGGTCCCATTTCTTCACATAGAACGGGGTTCCGAGAAACACAAGAGAGCCCAGGGCGTTGGAGAGGTGGGAGGTGGCGAGGCGGTGGGAGAGGAAGAGGCGTTGCCGGGTGGCCGGGAGGCCGAGGAGGGAGTCGAGCCAGTGGTAGCGCCCCCAGGGGTAGCGCTCCTGGCTCTTGTGCTTGTGCGTGCTGGGGTGGAGACTGGTTGGGAGGGGTTGGGGGGGACAGAGAGATGGGGCGGTGACGGGCTGAGGGGTGGAATGCAAGTGGTGACAGGAGGGACCTCAAAAAAATGTTTTGGAGGTGGCCTACCAGGTTGGAATGCAATAAATACAATGGTGGCTACAACAGTCAGTACCCATGATTCATTAGCATAACTATGTACCAAGCTTTCAGTCGTCACACCAGACTTCCAGAAAAACACCTTTGTCACACGATTGGAGTGGATGGTGGTAACCGCAGATACCAGCTTTTGAGGCGCCTCAAAAGTCACCAGAAAATGAGGTGCCTAAGAAGTCGTCTAATTATTCGCCTTTTAAGGTGCCTAATGGAAACTCGTCTCACAAAGTTCGCCTTTTGAGGCGCCTAAAGAATCATATGTAGCACCTTTGAAAAACGATGACGGTTGGCAGCCACCACCAGTACCAGCTAGATTGGATCCTGTCCGGCTTCCTGAAAGAAAAGTGGTTCTGAGACGTCTCAAAACAATCTCCCAGATAATTACCTTTGAAACACGATAGGGGTGGGCAGCCACCACCAGTACCAGCTAGATTGGATCCTGTCCGGCTTCCTCCATTTCCGAACCAAATCGTATCCACCCTTGTGTGCCGCCCAAAATTCTTGTTCCACCAAAGGGTGCAAGTCCGCTGGTGATTGGCTGCTCAGTTGCCGCATGTACTGAGGGAGTGAGGGGGAAGAATGGGGTGGGGGGGAGAGAAGGAGGGGAAGAAGGGGAGAGGGGAGAATTACGGAGAGGGGGGAATGGGGAACAGGGGGGAAGTGAGTGGGAGAGAATGGAAAGCAAGTGGAGATGGGGGGGAAAGGCAATTAGCCGTGGCTCAACCCAGAGTTGCCTTGTGTGTGACACGCAACTCCAAGCCACCCAGAACTCTTGTTGTACTGCCAAGGGGACACACAACCGCCCTGGGAAGGGTCGTGCGTCACCCGGTTTTTTCTTGAGCTTGGCTGTCCACGCCTCATGTCATGGGATAAGCACCGTGAATGTGAAAGAAAAAAAGACGTCTCAGAAGAAATTTATTCTCACAGGGAAAGGAAACCACAAGAGAGACGAGGGGTGGGATTGGGAGAGCAGTCAAAATAGGATAAAGTGGGCAAAAAACAAAATGGCAAAGAGGCAATTCATGGGAAGCACTCACTAGCTGCACTGCTTTGAGCAGAGCACACTAGAAGTAAACTTTGTCATTACACCGCCATGGCTACTCACCAGCTCCGCTGCTTTGAGCACCAACCAGTTGTAGCAAAACAGATTGTGAAATACCCGAGGAGAACTCACCAGCTCTACTGCTTTGAGCAGCACGTTTCCCCCACATCGCGGAAAAGGTTTTCACCCTAAGTTGCGGGAAATGGGGTATTCTGCTGAAAAGCTTCCGAAATGCATACAGATGTATACAGAAAGTTGCGATCGTGAAATCGCAACCTACCCCCACTTGCACACTTGGTATTCACGCCAAGGGCAACGGAGCGCAAATGTACAATCTGTGTTGCCTTGGCGGGAAATCCGCAGCTCGACAATCGAAAAATATGAAACCTCGACATTGGGTGGTTCGGTAAAATACACCAGCGTATACAGTTGCGTAAACAGGCACATCGCGAGGCACACCACAATACACGTACACTTGTAGGGACTCGCATGTGGCTTGAAGACGGTAGCGATGTACGAAACCAAGATACCCTTCGTACGTTTTTCACAAATAAGATCTTGTACACAAAAGAAATCATCAATGTTCCACGTCACTGCCTCACGTCCACTCCTGGCCTCTCACCAACCTAGGTAATCTTTCTTGCCAATTGGTGCTGTGTGCATGAATCAAAGTCGGCACTCAGCAACTCCCTCATCCACACACTTTGCATACCTAACCTCTAAGTCGAAGTTGAAACCACACACTTCGTTCATTTGGTCTCCAAGTCGAAACCTATCTCTCCTCATTCCTGTTATGCTTACTAGATCATCTCTTCTCGCACACTAGGTTTCTTGTCAGCTCGAAAAGTGTCCAGATCTATCGCCTTAGCTTGACACTATCCCCTTCTGATTCTTTTCCGACCCTGCCAACTCCCATGTTGTTGCCCATATTAAACAGGTACATTTTCTTCACAAGGAGAACGTACTGCTCGTGAATCTTAGCGGAAACGCCGGCTTCAGCGCCAGACGCTCTGGCGGCTACGAAAGCGGTGTGGGACGAATCGCCAGCGCCTACGATTTCGCGCCCTTCTTTTCGCGCATGTAGGCAATCAGCTGCCGTGCACATGCAATTACGTTAATCTATTATGTATCCTATGCCTCCATTTTTTGCCTTCGTTTAGTGTCCCACTCGGGTTGTTATTTGCCTATCTCTCCCGTAGTCATACTCATTCGCTCAGACGCATCTCGTTACACGGTTTGGTTTTCTTTTTCCTCCCCAATCTCCCAGTTTCTAGCCGCGCAACCGCGACGAACCGCCGGACGTTTTGATATGTGGCGCCACCGTCGGCCAGCCGCAAAGGAATGTGTGCGCTAACAGCACCACGACGCCGGACTTTTGCGTGGAAGCCGCTCCCGGGAAGTCGCTTCAAAATTACGCAGAGTATGAGGTACGCACTTCAAGCACCTCATGTATCCAATCCGCTCACATCTTGTATCCATTTCGCGCTTTGTGTACAAGCAATTGTGTACAAGAACCATAAATCAAAATTATTACCTCGTGAACCGATTTCGACGCAGAGCATTGCACGCGCAATTGTAATCCAATAATATGTCGTTTTGCACGCATACAACTCGTCTCTGATTGGTCCACATGGCTAGCTGACGTTCACAGATCGATAGTGACATGTGGCAAAAAATCTATGCGTACGTGACACAAATATCTATACGAACGTACCCACGTACGTACACACTGAAGAAGAAACCGTACTCGTGTCACGTGGCATGCCAGAAAGGTTACATTGAAGTGACAACTAAGTATACGTCAGGTTGCGCTTAGGTGTCCACTTTGCATCCAAAATGTGTCTGAAATGTATCGGAAGAGTTGCTGAAACTCAACCCAATTTCCCGATACTTTCGACCTTGACTAGAAAATTGCGGGAGCAGGTATCCAGAAAGTAACCTTTCTGCAAGTTTTTGGCAACAATCTCGCAATCCCTTTCCCGCGATGCATGCGAGTGAGCGATGATGTGTATCCTCGCTGCAGGGTCGTTGCGGGCGATGTCCGATACAAGCACAGAGAGCTGAGACCCGGGTGGAGGTGGGGGAGGAGGACGGAACGTTGTTAGGGAAAAGAGTGAGCAATGTGAAGGTCGGTGCTGCAGGATCATCGTGTATTGAAGATGACGTCACGCCCTTGCATCATGAACAATTTCTCTCGCAGAAAAGCCTATCTGAATTTTCACCTGACGTGGGAGAGGACAACGTAAAGGGGGGAGTAGACTCCATCAAGGATTATTTCCCTAAGCCTCCTGAAAACACTGATCGATACGCCCAAACCCAATATAATCGTCCCGCCCGTACCTTCTCAGCAACTTCCACCCTCCCTTTGTGCGTGTTCGTGCCGTCCCAATGAAAAGGGTACGGCGCACCGCCTTGCGCGCCCCGGGAAGCCCTGCCGGCCGTGCTGCCGGCTGGCAGCTCCCGCCACACGCTATTTGCTCCTAGCGGCCCTCGGGCCAAAAGCGCGCAAATTTTGGAACAAAAGTTCATCGCGGAAATGCAAAGGGCCCAAAGTCACAGAAATGTAACCTTTCCGTGACTTTTCCGTGACTTTTTTGCGTGACGGAAAAGTCATGGCCAGAAGTACCAAAAACTCAAGTCACGGAAATGTCACGTTGGAGTCCCGAAATTTCATACAGAAAGTCACTGAAATGTGACCGGTGAAGTGATGTTCTCGTCACTTCTCGTCACTTTTTTGTTCCCATGCCACGTGGCCAAACCGCGTTTCATCTTTCCAGATATTTTGCCAGGGTTTCATGTTGGTGATTGGTCTAAATTGACCAATTAAATGGGAGTTCTGGGTGTGTCTAAACGTAATTTCATTGGCTAACGATTCTGAATAGCGACCGCACGTTGCACACTAAACACAGCATCGCACAGCGCACGTCGAAACAGCACAACCAACCTCCATCGGTGTATTTCAAAATGCGTCATTATAAATGTACAGTACATACATCGCCAAAGCAACACAACAGCACGTCCGCACAACGCACGTCCACACGGACACACAGCTAACCATCTCCTAATTAAAGCCTAGTTAGGAACTACCCCGATCAGAGATAATTGGATGGAACATGATGCAGCCAGCAAACTAAATCACGAAACCATTTCATTGACTACATAAAAAATGCAGAACATTATGGAACCTGCAATGAAGAAAGCAGCAACAGATCGTGACACTTGGGAGAGAGAGAGAGAGAGGAAAAAAGCATAACGTGAACAGCACGAAGAATAAAACGGGCGACGGTGTGACAGCTCCATAAGCACTGATACTCACGCCCAGGGAGATACGCAATCCAGATTGGCTGCAGCACGTGAACAGTGGGAAAGGAAGCACAGCTGCGCAGCGTTGCCCACGGTTAGGCCGACGGTGAAACCACCAAGGTTTGCCGGCCGACGGTGCCGGGCCTGATGATGCTGCCAAGGGCAGAAGCGAGAGGAAAGACAGAGAATGGGGTGGAGAAGGGAGAGATGGGTGAGGCGAACGAGGAAAAAAAACAAGGGTGGGAACAATCGAGAACGAGGCTGATGTGAAAATAGGGACGGATTGCTTTTCCGCGAGTGGTGGTAATATCGCGGCACCGCTCACCTCGTGTAGACGACTTGCGCGATTCCTTCCGGCATCGCGCCGCGCATCAGCAGGCCATCGTCTGTGCGCTTGCGCCATTTCTGCGCGCAGAGAAGAAAGATCACTAGGGGGCGGAGAAAGAAACGAGGGTAGCGGAGAGGTTAGGCGAAAATGGGACGGCATCGCGGAAAATACAAAGTGGAGAGTCACGTCAATGTGATTTTCACGTCACTATGACGTGACTTTTTTGCCTCACGAAATAGAGAAGAGAAATGGACAGTTGTGCACTGCCACGCAGAGAGAAATGGACAAACATGGGGAAGAGGGAGAACCGAGCCCAGGGGAAAACAACAGCGAGAGAAGACGAGCGAGCTAGCTAATACATAT